TATATATATATATATATATATATTCGAACTATAACGATTCGAACACGAACGAACACATCACTGTTCGTGTTTGGTTCGTTTAACAAATCGAACGAAAAAACTTGTTTGTGTTCGTCTCGTTTACTTATCGAACGAATCGAACACGAACACTCTGGCGAATCGCACCTGAACTGTTCGCGAACAACGAGCTTTTTTGACAGCCCTACTCATGATGATAACTTGAAGGCGGTGGTTCATGGTTCAATAATGACAACTTTGTTGACAAAGTATGATGGTCCGAAGGTGGAGAAGACTAAATGGCCCTAGTCCCCCTAAGGCGGTGGTAGTGGTCAGACAGCGACCCGATGGTAGTGGCTTGATGGTGACAACAGTGGTGACCAAGCTACAATGGTTTATCAGTAATGACAACCAAACAATAGTAGTTTGGCCATGACAACGGTGGTGCATGGGCAATGGAGGTCTTATGATGGCGACGACCTGACGATGGTGGCCCGACGATGATGATGGTAATGGTTAGAAGGAGAGAATGGTGATGGTCCGACGATGACAATTTTTGTGGCTAGGCAATGATGGTCCAGTGAAAGCGGTGGCTAGACGACAATGGTATGACAACAATGACAGTGGTGGCTTGATGCCATTCTGATAATTGTGATGGGGTATGGTGGATTTATGGCTGTCGTGACTGAGTGAAGGTAGTCCGGTAATGATAATAGCGGTGATCGGATTGGGGCATTGTAGCAGTGGTTCGTTGGTGATGACAGTGGTGAAGGTGCAATGATGGCTTCGTTGCCAAATAATGGTGGTCCAACGACGATGATGATGGTGGTCTGATTGTGGTCCGATAGATATGGTTTGACAACAACAATAGCGGTAGCAAAGCAGCAGTCGTTCGAATGCGACGACATACACGAATGTTGCTAACAAATGGTGATTGGGTGGCGATGACAACATCCAGATGATAGTGGTCCGACGCAGACAATGCTGGTAGTCATTGGTTGTGGCTAAACGACGCCCCGATGGTGGTGGTTCGACATCGACGATGATGGTGGTCGGGCAATGGTGGTCTGACCACCTGATGATGGTGACCTGACGATAACAACAAATGGTGGTTGGACGAAAGCCTAATGCTGATGGTTTAGTGCGACGAAAATGATGTCATTGTAAAGGTAGTCCAATAGTAGTGGCAGCTAAAATGCAACGGACAAAGTCAAATGACAAAGGTGTGAGGTGGTGAAGGTTGTGGTTTGGTAGTGGTTACGAACAGTCGATGGTGGTCTGGTGATGATGGCGAGGGTGACCGACGCTAATGAAGCTAAGAAATCCTCAAGAGCTTGAAGCTCTTTTAGCCTTCTCCTCCAAGTCCAACCCTAGATTCAAGGTTATTTTCATGAAAAGATTGAGGGTTTATTTATAGATTTTGAAGTTGAAATCTTCTGTAAACACTATATGAATCATGACCACTCTATCGAACGACCCAGAGTGATTCACTTGATCAATTATAGTTTTAAGTCTATTTGAATGCAAGAATGATGTTGAAATTAAGTGACCTTATGCTTGTTAGATATTTTTCTTGTCAAGACACTCGATTTGAATATGAACTTGTCAGATTTGGAAGACATCTGATATCCCAAAGTACGTTTCAAAACTTTGCTTCCTGCTTCAAATGCATGGTCTGGGCTCGCCTGGTCTCAGATCTGATCATTTTTTATTTCATTTGATTTGTCTCACCAAGACACTTAATTTCACCATATATTGGAGTGTAGGCATTTCAAAATTTAAAATTTAAATTTTCAGGTCAAAATATGTGTCCACATTAGTGTGGACCAATATGATTTTTTTTAGAAACGTATCAAGTGAGATGCTCGTTTTAAAGAAATAACTTATGATGATCTCATAAATTATTTCCCTAGCTCAAAAAATCGTGAAAAAATAAACATGCCCTCATGATTCATACATATAACACATCAACACATATCGGGGCAGATCTATAAACATATTGCTTAATTTCTATGTATTTATGTCTAACATTTACATTTTAATTTTTACATACATATCACATTATCTTTCCTATACATAAGAAAATATTCATTTTATTTTTTAAATTTAAATACATGGGAGTTGAGTGGTTTTATGTAAATGTCCCATATATTTAACTCTCAAACATTAGGTTAAAGGTGTTGCATTACATTATCATTTAAATTTCTGTCATAGATAATTATATCTATATACTCTCCGAGTACTAAGCACAAGAGCTTAAGCCATATGTCGGCAGCAACTGTGATCTCTTATAGCATCTTAACACTTGGCCTTCCAGCAATACCCACGTGTCAGAACCTCAATCATCTCCGCCCTTAAAATCCCAGTCCCCTTCCCCTATAAATACTCCCCCGGTTTCTCCGCTCCCAAACCACACAAAAGCGCAAAAAAAGGCGAAGAAAAAACCCTAATCAGCAGACTGAAGAACAATGTCGTCTCTCATTAACAAAGCGAAGGGATTCGTGGCCGAGAAGGTTGCGCACGTGCAGAAACCGGAAGCAAGCTTGAAGGGCGTCTCCATCAAGAACGTCGGAAGAGATGGCGCCCAATTCCATAGCGATGTCTCCGTCGACAACCCTTACAGCCACCGCCTCCCTGTTTGCGAGATCACCTATACCCTCAAGAGCGCCGATCGGTAATCCATTCGCTTATTCTTACAATCGCTGATCAACGATTAGATTGATGGTTGGTTTGATAACAGGATCGTGGCGTCGGGGACGATGGCGGATCCGGGATGGATTGAGGCGAGCAAAGCGACGACGCTAGAGATTCCATTTAAGGTGCCCTACGATTTCTTGATAAGCTTGCTCAGGGATATTGGCCGCGATTGGGATATTGATTACGTGTTTGATGTTGGATTGACGATTGATTTGCCGATTATTGGGAATTTTACCATTCCTTTGTCGACGAAGGGGGAGTTGAAGCTCCCTTCGTTTACTAATTTCTTCTCGGGGGATAAGGATTCTGATTCCTAATTTCCCTCATCGTCCCTCTTCGTCTCTAAGATCGAGGAGTTTTGTTTCTGTTTAATGTTTATGCTGTTAATAAAGTCTGATGGGGATGGACGCTTTGAGATTACCGACAAGATCTGAAGTGCTTTTTTTTTAAATAAGGAGTTCCTTGACATTTAAGGTGAGATTTTTTTTTTTTTGAGCGAATTCTAACCTAAATTCAAAGGTAATTACTCTGTTATATACGATTGCAATATAAAAAAATATTGATCTAATTATCTCAAAATCAGTTAAAAATTTTAATTCAAATTGTGACAGTTGAAAATAGTTAATGAGTGCAAGTGAAGGTAGCAACTAAAGAATTGGTAGGAAGGATTCATGATTTAATGATTAAGGAAAGTTAATTTTTTTATATCATGTGTTAAATTCATATTTGTTTGTTAATCACATCAAAAGAGTTAGTGTAAAAATAGGAGAGAAATGCAGGTAACATATAGGCTGAACATTGACACATCTTCAGTTGAGGTAACATATAGGCTGAACATTGACACATCTTCAGCAGATTTTTATCATCCAACACAAATCTCGAGGCATGACAGATCTTAAGACGGATTTTTGGGCAAAAGAAATATTCAAATCTCGATAAAAATTTATTTCACCAATACCACAAGAATAATCTAATGTTACCAAAATTATTTCAATCTAACGCAAAATAAGCTCAAATCAAGTCATTAAATTATTCTTGAAATTTTTTTGGATATATTTAGAAGGTTAAACAAATGTCTAATTAAGCAAGCTTATAATTAGATTGAGCGTCTCGACAGGACGAAATTTACGAACCGCATTATTGTTCTATTCGGACATCGTTTAGATGCTTAAATGTTCATTAAACGTCATTTGATCGAAGAAAGCTATTCAGACCGTCCGATCGAAGCGGTTCATTTTCTTGTTTTTATTGCACTTTGAATGCTATAAATAGAGATTCACTCTCATGAAATGGGGCTAGAGGCTTACGAGAGAATTTAAAGTTTTGTGAAGAAGATGAAGTCCAGTATCACCATTGCTGCTGTCGATAATCACCAATCGCTGTCAAGCACCACTATCGTCGTCAACCACTACCAACCATCATCGACCGCTGACCAACATCGATTTCCCCCAATAATTGTCAACCACCACGGAGTGGAAGCTATCAGACAACATTATAACTTGAAAAATCTGTAGTCTTTTCTCGTTTGTGAGGCAAATAGTCTCTGTAATTTTCAGCATATAGTGAATTTTAACATCTGCGTCAGACCCATTGGTTTCTCCCTTTACGGGTTTTTTTTGTAAAAATTTCTGATGTCAGTAGTGGATGTTTTCTCTTACCTAAGTTGTGTTGAATTCTCATGTAACATTAAGAAGTATTTCATTGCTCTACCAATATGAATTTTATAACACTCATCAGTTTGGTGTCATTTGTGGAAAGTAAAACATTTTTATAATTGAAATACTTGTAAGAATTGTTGCTTGACCACCAAGCACAACACTTGCTACAACACACCCACCATTTTAGAGGACAGTCATGAAGCTAAGGTCATCAAGCCTCCGCATCCTCCTACTCAATGAAACATTACCCCATTGATCAAGGTATCTTGGGTCATTCTCTGGAAGATCAAGTTCGTAGGATGGATGAGTCTCAACATGAGATCATTCCTTCTATGTTGGGAGCGACAACCACAACCCATGTAAATCCCTTACCACCAGTTCAACAATCAACAGGAAAACCCCGACTCACCGGGTTCTCCTAATTATGAAACCATTCCTCTTTCAAGACGAGAGACCAAGTTATTCAAACTCCCAAATATTGTACCTATGAAGGGGTGAGCGATCCATACGACCACGTCGACCACTATCGAACCATTATGTACATTCATTGTGCCTCTGATGCGCTTCTCTGTAAAGTGTTCTTGGCATCTCTCAAGGGTCAAGCTCGCACATAGTTCTACTCTCTCTGGGGGCACCATCAACACCTTCGATAAACTTGACAGATTATTCGTAGAGCAGTTCATAGTAAATTGAATGATCATCAAAGATTCATTTCATATATCGGGAGTTCGCCAAAATGAGGGCCTCAATGAATACTTCTGCAGGTTCTCCACTTAAGCCCGTCAGATTCTTGGAGTGGATATGGAGTTATTGAGAGGAGTCTTTTTCGGAGGGCTTCGCTCATGGCCTTTCTATTTGACCCTTATGCGGGAGACGAGCACTCTTATGTTGATGTCATCCATTGCGTCGAAGCTCAAATCTCTTTAGACGATACCATCATTGCACATGAGGAACAATTTGAGCGATTGGAGGGGCAAGCACAAGAATAACGTCAGGGATACCAATCAAATCTCACAACGAAAAAAAGTTTAGACCACGGGAATCGTGAGCCACGATCAGAAAAAGAATACACGTCACTTAACATGACACGTGTCAACATCCTAATGACCATCAAGGATGAAGAGACTGTTGAGTGGCCAATGTCGTTAATAATTTCAGATGGTGGAGTCTCATCTCAATATTGTCATTTTTCTCGTGCAAAAGGACATTTGACAAAAAAAATGTTTCAACTAAAGGAATAAATTGAACGTTTGATATGCTGAGGTCACTTGGGTCGCTACTTACATGAACAAGGTGAGGGGAACAAGAAGAGAATCTTCAGAGTTATTGAATGAAATGTACAACTTCAAATTATAGTAGTTCTGAAATTTTCTTATTTTCTCATGGAAAATTTTTGTGTAGAAAATCCCCTTGAAAACAAACAGTAGAAAAAGACCTCATCCATGTTCCTCGAAGTCGAGCCCAAGAGGTATGACTCAATGAAAAGATAAGAAACTTTTAGAAGTCGAGCCAAAGAGGCAAGTCTCGATGAGAATCTATCATGCCCCTAAAAGACGAGCCCAAGAGACAAATCTCGATGGAAAGCTAGTAGTGGACATGATCCTAACTAGAAAGACTCCACGACAGGAAGTGGTTTATAAGTTCTCCACTCAAAGACTTAAAATGGCTACAAGTATCTGAAAACACAAATACATCAAAGACCTCAGAAGACTATAAAACACCTGTACATTAAAGATCTTAGAAAGCTATAGTCTCAAAAGGCATAGATACATAGAAAAAATCTCAGAAGGTTACGAGCCTCAGAAGACACCGGCTAATTTTAAGCTCATACAAGGCAAAAGCCCTAGAGGGCACTGCCTTTGAAGCACGAGCATTAAAAGATACACAATTCTTCAATTTATAGTGTGTGTGCTACCTTTAATTGCAAAATTTCATATGATTGAGAAGTCACATCAACCTTGGTATCAATGTCATATACGTACAAAAAAATATATTATCATATACAAATGGCATATCAGATGATTAAAAATGCTGTAAAGACCAACAAGAACTGATACAAAAGCTATACAAGATATCACCACTATAGAAACATGAAATTCTCCACCTCAAAGTGTGACAAGAAAATCTAGCATTTCTTCATCTCCACTGAAATGAGCAGCATCAATAAGCAAGAAGATCCTGTTTCTCGCCAACTATGCAGAACATAAACGACTTTCTTCTTGGTTGCGATGTGAAAAAAGATCATGTTGTTTGTTTGTCACACGGAACGGAGATGATTTCTCTTAGTCGCAACACGAAAGAAGAACGCGTTGCTCGCCTACTAGGCTACTACGCAAGACTTGAATGACTTTCCTCTTGGCCGCAACGTGAAAAAAAATCAATTTGCTCGCCTGCTACGCAGTACGAGAATGACTTCTCTCTTGGCCGCAAGGCAAAAGAAGAATTAGTTGCTCGTATGCTACGCAAAATGATGACAACTTTCTTCTTTAGGGAAATCTCAGATCACCTGCTAGGCAGAGTCGTAGACCACCTACATCCTCATCTCCTTCGTCTATTTATAAGCTCAAAAAATACCAATATTTATGATAAACAATTAATCTATTTCATTAAAATAATAATTACAAAATTTAAAATCTGCATTAATTCACTTCCTTCTACGTTCCAACTGTTGGCACCATAATATTCTGCTTTCTTCATTACAAATTAAAAAAATGAGAAATATTTTTTTTTTCAAATATTACAGGAGATAAAATTCTTTATATTTATTTGTTTGATTGTTACAAGTTAAATACCCTTAAATTACTTTTCAAACCAACTTTATATTTTTATGTACATGTTTATGTATAAACAACTAATTTTAAAAAATTGAAATCAACATTAATTTCTTTGTCGCTTATTTCTATTAGTTTTCTGGCTTAAGTCTTATGGCCTTCCAATTTCCTTATTTAAAATAAAATAAACTTAAAATATTTCCATATTCTTACATTTTAATCTTTCATATTCGCTGATATATATATATATATATATATATATATAGTCAAATCAAGTTTAGATCAAGTCATTAAACCACTCATGGAAGTTTTTCAGACATATTTAGAAGGTTAAACGAATGTTGATTCTATTAAGTATATAATTGAATCTGGCGTCCCGACAAGACAAATCTTACGAGCCCAAGATTGCTCAATTCTAACATTGTTCAGACACTCAAATGTTCATTAAACACCATAAGGAAGCCCTCCGGACCGTCTGATCAAAGTAGATTATATTCTCAAGACAAATCTTACGAGCCCAAGATTGCTCAATTCCAACATTGTTCAGACACTCAAATGTTCATTAAACAACATAAGGAAGCCCTCCGGACCGTTTGATCAAAGTAGATTATATTCATGTATTTATTGCATTTTGAACATTATAAATAAAACCCACACCTCTCATGAGAGGGGGTTGCAGCTCTAGAGATAACTTAAAGATTTGATAATTAGCCCGCAGACCGATGTTGATCACCGTCATCCTCTGCTAATCACCGTCTACCACTGCCGACAATCACCGGCCGCCGTCGAGCACAACTAT